CGTCGCGAAGAGACTGGACCTTATTACGGTGTGACGGTTTGTGCTCCCGTAACCTATCGAGTAATACCTGGGGAGTGTCCGTGCGACACCTGTAGAGTCTCTCATACCAAGTTGGTCAATGGTCAGAGCACAAACCGACACAGTTTTCTGGTTCTCCGGGTTAGGGGTTGGGACTTATATGCCGACTTGTTCTTCTTAAAAAATTAACGTGTTTGTATTTCCCGCCAAACACGGCTACCTTGCGGTCAGGCCTTTGAGCTAATGGTTTTGGCCGGGGACCCTGATAGTCCTCCTACCTAGGTTCGGGCGCCCTTGCAGTATCCAAGCCGACGTATGTGCATTATTTCTACGACTAATGCTTTCATGCTATAGCCGTCGCGTGGTGTAATCAGCCAGGCCGCATCACTTGCTGCATACAGCAAGGCGAGTGGGCGAAGACGTGCTGCTTCTAGCACGTGCATCTTTGAAAGATTTGAACCAAGGAGAGCAATGCCGTCCGCATATTCAATGTGCGTAAGCGAACACTCCGACAGTATTTCGACCCCATTAATCTGGAAGACAGACAGGCACGTTCCAAGCAACACGTCAGTAACAACTTTGAAGAGGAATGGTGAGAGATGGTAGTCTTGTCTTACGGCCTGGAGGTCGTAAACTCAGGCGGAAGTTTGCCGTATACCTCTACTTGCTCACAGGCGGTCGGAAGACAGTATCCTCATGGGGGCGAGATGGACCAAGTGGTTAGAGCGCGAATTTACTGACCGGAAGGTCCTTGGTTCGAACCCGACCTCTGCCACTTAACTTCCCCTGTCTAGGCTTGGGCGACCTGGCAGCATCCCAGCCCTCGTGCTTCCTTCGTGTGACATGGCAGCTAGGCACCGAAAGGGTGCTACAGCTGGACGATTTTTTTACTCTCATGAAGGTTGAAAGTTTTAAAGGAGCGTTTCTGGCGATAAAGCCAAAAGCGGTCTTTAGATCAAGGTAAATGATCAGTAGAGTAGCGCTGTTCAAGATCTTGTTTCAAGGTAAAGCTACTTCCGAGGGATCCCCGATTAGGGCGAAACCCAGTTTGATTTTCACGAGTTCGTTCCTTCCAATTATCTGTCAGCGTGTGCAGAGTGCCCCTTTGCTACTATGGCGGTTTCTGCACGACGTTCTTGTGGGTTTTTTGAAGATCGGGATCACGGTCGAGACGCCTCATTTTGCTGGTAATATGTTTCTTAATTCCAAACTTCCAGTGGTGGGATCATCAGTCTGTTCACCAGGATTTCTCCATCCTTGAGAAGTGCGGAATTCAGATCTGCGAGTCAGGTGCTCTGTCGCATCGGAGGAACGATATTTCACGCTCCCAACCCTCGTGCTTCCTTCGTGTGACATGGCAGCTAGGCACCGAAAGGGTGCTACAGCTGGACGATTTTTTTACTCTCATGAAGGTTGAAAGTTTTAAAGGAGCGTTTCTGGCGATAAAGCCAAAAGCGGTCTTTAGATCAAGGTAAATGATCAGTAGAGTAGCGCTGTTCAAGATCTTGTTTCAAGGTAAAGCTACTTCCGAGGGATCCCCGATTAGGGCGAAACCCAGTTTGATTTTCACGAGTTCGTTCCTTCCAATTATCTGTCAGCGTGTGCAGAGTGCCCCTTTGCTACTATGGCGGTTTCTGCACGACGTTCTTGTGGGTTTTTTGAAGATCGGGATCACGGTCGAGACGCCTCATTTTGCTGGTAATATGTTTCTTAATTCCAAACTTCCAGTGGTGGGATCATCAGTCTGTTCACCAGGATTTCTCCATCCTTGAGAAGTGCGGAATTCAGATCTGCGAGTCAGGTGCTCTGTCGCATCGGAGGAACGATATTTCACGCTGCGTTTCCGTTAATGGTGGGCTAGTATTGATGTTCCATTCAGCCTCGTCGGGTTTCTCCAGAGATTATGTTGAGGGGAGCCAGCTAAACTTCCCTTTAGTGTTAAACCCATCGCTTAGGAGACGATTTTGAGAATGAAATACCGTTCCATCCTTTTCGCCAATCTTTTCGTTGACACATCTTGGTTTGGCCAGTAGATCGAATCAGCTGGAACGGGATTACTCTTGCCTGCAGCCAAATCTTTCTGTCTCCTGTGCCTTCACAATCCAGCAGCGTTCTCTGTCAATCTTCAGGCTCTTTATTATCTGGCGTTTCAGGGATGTGTATGTACCGTCGTAGTTGCCAGTTAGCTGGATACTGTTAAGCTTCTGAAACTTGTCGGTGATGATGAGTTGATCCGCTCTGCTACAACACGTAAACCTTGGGGATATTGAAACGATACCCAAGCCCGCATAATAGCGTGATTGAAGTTGCGTTTCAGGAGGAATGGTAGTATTTTTTCTCTCCAAGTGGGGAGCTCGATCGGCAAGTGACAGTCACATGACCTAACTGAGTCCATGGCCGACTTGCGGCTGGTGACCTCCAAGAAACTCAGTGTGTACCCTTTTGCCGAAATTTTCCACTAGACAGGAACAGTTGGTTATCAGCACACAACTGAAAAGATCGCCTTCCGATGGATTTCCAGGGGAAACCCAAGAAACACACTTTTCATCCAGCCATAGAGACCTTCGGACCACAAATTAAGCAATGTTACATAAAAAGCCACGTTCCCAGGGGAACTTAACCGTACTTGGAACGGTGTGGGCGCCACTATTCATGGGGTTCCGATTTCCCACCGAATAAACACTAGATTTCAAAACAATCCCCGATACGAGACGTTGCATCTCTCCCATAAAAGCATTGGTGCCTGAAGATTGACCGCACGAGTAGTCCCGGAAATTTGATCTGCCAACTTACCTGAAAGGTGTTCAGCACTGAATCTCTTTAACCCGGTCTACCATAGAGACTACTTATCTTTGGAGCACTAGATCTAGGTCTGATCATGGAAGTGAAGCATCTCTTTCGTGGAATCTGATCAACACCGTTTCTTGTCACAGCTCGATACCAGTGGTCCACTGCTTCAGCCATTTTTCCCTACAGTTGTATAATTTTGAAGCGAGTCGCCCATGCATTGAATTCACTGCCTGTTGTGGTCACCAGTGTTTGAAAGAGGTAAAAGCAGAAAGAATACAGTAATATGCTGCCCCATGTGGTAAAGAGATTTAGCGCAGCTGTTCTCGAATTCCTGTAGTCGCTTGTTGGAGCGCCTCGTGCTTTCCTGACTTTGTGATCACCTCAGTGTATCGTCACCTTCTTTGAAGCAAGCTTGTTTTCTGTGCCACATCTGTGAAGGACTCATATCTCTGCGCGTGTCGGAGCCCTAACTGTTATCACATTGAGTCAATAACCTTCCGATACACCATGGTTCACGGGATGTAATTAGTGAGAATAACAGCAAACTATACTGAGCACTCCGCTTGCGAGGTCCACATAACCCGCATGTGTATCCGGGCTTTCCACTCTTGTCCAGAAGGTTGAAGTTCGTGCCCAAGATTCGATATGGATGTACTTTTTTATCTGTTCGCAGAGCTTGACTTTCGGCCTGAGAACGTTTCGCTGCCATTCGGGCAGTCATTCGCACACTGGGGATGTTTCCTCGAGTGACGAAACGTCTGAAAGTCTGTTGCCAAGCGTTCAGGTCGACAGCCATCTGCCACGTTGCGATAACTCTGGATGACCAGCTGATCAGCTGACACCATTAACGAGGGCCACTTCAGCAGTAGCTGACGCATTTCCTCTCTGTTCTTCGTTCAACTTTCTATTTTATCCTTCTCTATGTAAAGTTCCAAAAGAGGGCCACCGTGTTTAGAGCAATTGATAGGAGCAAATACGTGTTAAAAACTTTCCTCATCTTAACCGTTGAAGTCACTTGGTTTCTGTGTAATCACTTTCAGCTCATTTGGCAAATTTATCCTTAAGGGGACCAGATATACATGGACTGTAAGTTCATTATCTTCTTTGTCCGATTCTTCAGCATCGCAGCCCCCAACCGGCAATACTGTCCGTGTCGGTTGTAAAAAATGTGGATTCAGTGAGTTATTGTAGACATTTGTGTGATCACTCAGCTGGTCATTTGACTTTTCAGTGTCGCAACTACTTGCGAGGCGGAATTTCCGGTGATGTAGTTCTTGATGTGAGCAGTACTAGTTCCCAGTCAGACGACGACGAGCTGATTGCAACCGCTCTGGCTCTAAAACGCGCTGCCCTCGGTGAGTCGTCCATCTTCACAACCGTCTATTACATCATTTTGCCCGCTTCCTCGAAAAGGAGTGAATGTGTCGATCTCCTTTGCCTGTTGGGAAGTAGTCTTGTTTTATTGTTCTTGCATTTCCAAAAAATTATGTTCCGCTCAATTTGCAGACTAAATATTGTCCATTGTCTATCTTGGAGGAGGTGGATCTAATTTGCTCACACTCGATCATGCTCGATTATATACCAAATCTAATCAATAGGGGTCCGTGTTACATCCACCGTGTCGGTACGATCACATTTTCAAGTCCGGATCTCGCCCACCACTAGGTGACATGAACGCTTCTACTGCTGACTAAACCCGGTGGAGCATTGTGGGGAGGCATGACAAAATTGTTTTGGCGGACGGCGCTGCACCGCATTAGGGAAAAAATATCAACACCGTATTTGTAGAAAACATTGCTTCCCGCTAACGAATTTCGGAAACGCGACATCTAGCAGACTTATTGCGCCTTACCTCATTCCTTTTCTCCTATCTATTGAGTGTCCGTTGTGGGTTCGTCTTTCAGTCAGACCCTGTCGCAGAATGCCGCGTTCTCAGCGTTCTAAATATCTGTAATTCCCAGTGACCTTCCTTATTCCATCCATACTGATCCTGTAGCTGTGAGGCCGAGTTATTTTCATCGCCACTTTTCTCATCCAGCTTATTTGGTTTTCTACACGAATCTTCTGGTGTGTTCATGATGTGTTCATGACGACGAACCCCTGCTTCATATTATTTTCGCTGTTCTGCTCCCTTGAGTTCATCTGATCATTATTTTACTACCTTTTTCCACATTTTTTCTATAAACTGCACACTACTCTCTGATCAGGGCGATTCTCTTATGATGACTGCGATTGTATGCATCAACTCTCCAACTCCCATGCTTGGGACTGTTGTTTGTCAGTCGATCATTAATTTCTTCCGAGTCACGTACCTCTTTATGGTAGCATGATTCCTCAGATTCCTCACTTCTTAAGTCGGGCAATAGGCCCAAGGACATATTAGTTTGAAGACTGACGTTTTGGTGATAGTATTGAGAAACCGTCGCTATCCCGAATCTCTGCTAATAGAAGAAGCGGAATTTTCGCTACTCCTTATGATACTCCAATTTTGCATTCCACCCCCTCATCCGTTTGTTTACCTTGTTTCACCAACCAATTTTCCGTTGCCCTCAATCACCATAAAGGGCATCCATGGCCCTCTACTAGATCTCGGTCCTTATGATATCTCCTCAAACTTTGCTCTGAAACTGTGCTTCAGGACTTATTATCTGAATGATTTTCTTTGATTCGATTCTACAAGAACCTACATTTACGGACGCAGGTCCCCGTCTAACCCCAGTGGTTATCGCCGAACGTCCAATTCTCCCATTGCTCCCTGGGTTCTGAATTTAACCCTTTTTAGGTAACTATTGTGCGATCCTGATGACTGCCCTCAGTGATAATCACTACGGGCTCATGTGCCACCGTCCCACTAATGACATACTGGCCTGTCTCACCTACAATCATCCATTCTCGACTTAGTCCTTGAGACGGCTGCTTTCAGTTGATGCTTTGTAGGTATTCGGTCGTGTATGGTCTACAGGTCTCGAGAAGCTTGACCTCAAACTTATGAAATAGACTTGAATCTTCATGAACAGCTGCTCTGTTCAAGTGTGTCTTGAGAGGCTTACAACATCACTGCAAGAGTCAATCAAAGGTCTGTTTTACTCCCATTCCCCTCTCTCTGTTCTACGTTCGCGCTTTAGCAGACGACGCCATTTCATCAGTCTTCATTCTCCCGTTCCTAACGCTCTATCACTTGCCCACTGTACGACTGTCATACACGAACTATCACAATGAACACCGAAGTCGCGTCATAACCAGAGTAGCAAGTGTAACGAAAGTGAACGCAGTAGGTAATATGTTGCGTAGACAACAGGGAAACTGTGTCAGCAATAGCATGATCTTTATGAGTACGATGGACCCATGATTTTCATGGCCACAAATTCAATCATTATCACATGCAACAAAGTTGGTTCGTCCCAGCGAACAACCCCATTTACCATCAGCCCCATTGAGAGACTCTGCATATCGATTGCGATATTCTTTCCTGGTACTGGGTGTAAACAAACTGACCAAAAATGACTAACTTGAGAGTTCGGTTTGCCATTAATTCGTGTAATATGTGCCTCCAAGTATTAGTTATATATTGCATTCGGTTGCTGAAGAGAAATGGAGCATTAAATTCGTAATGACTTAACACTTATTTACTGTTCATCTCTCCATTGTGCTAAATCTTGCTACAACCGATCACTCCACAAAACTATCTGGTTGGATAGTCACGGTTATATATTTTCATTTATGAAAACTCCCTATATGTAACCAGTTGTGTTTAGTTTGTTCGCTCATCACAACCAACTTGGTAAGGTGATGACTTAGGAGACCAACGATTACGTATTCGGGACGTTCTTTACACTGTCCAGTTAAATATGCATTGTACCTGTTGGAAGAATTGGCGTGCAATACTTACATCTGTCTTCGCCGTCCGCGTAACTTCGTTTTGGAAGGGTTTAGCTCCTATCAGTCCATTTCAATCGTTTATTTATTCACTTGCTCCATATAATTGGTGTATGTTTTTCGTTTCCCGACTTTGCAGCAGCTAAACAGGAGAAAATGTCCAAAGAGAAGCGGAAACACAAGCATCATCATCACAAACGGAAAAGGTACGCCGACTTCCTTTGATGACCATCCACTTATGTAGCAAGCATTCCAAATCCTCGTCCACCGATTCGACAGAGTCATCGGGCAATTCAGAAAAACTGCATCGAGTGAAGCGCGAGCGGCACAAATCGAAGAAGAAACACAAGCACCATAAGAAGAAGAGTTCTCATCGTAGCTAGACTTTGAAACGCGGGTGCCTGACCACTCCTGTACACACTTTTCTAAATGCATCTGTTTTTACAACATATGATAACTATCTTTATCGATTTCATTGGGATCATTATATTCGCCGAGCAACCGTTCTGTCTGTCTTTGTGACAAACTCATGCGACGAAGACAGTAGTAACTTTGTTAGCCAGACCAAGTTAATGAGCAGGTATTTCTCAGAATTCACCTATTCATCATCTGCTCAACACTGGATGCCATGTGTCGTTGACGTGTCTGAACACCAGAATGTGGCGAAACTTTGTGACTTTCATTTTTCGGCCTTGTTACTCAGGTGTTAAGTCCCCCCAAAACGAACAGGTTGTGGTAGCGGACTTAATCATGATATCTGTCATAGTTTACCTCCAGTCCTCAATCTAAAGTGTGTTCAGTTAACACTTCACCGCGGTACGTTGACACACTAGTTAGTAGTTGGAACTCTGAAAATCTGGAGCCTCGCTACTTCACCTTCTCACGAGCCAACGCTGTGGCTCAGAGTTACCAGGTTAACGTGTTCCAAATCGGTTGATTAGGCCATTCGTTTGGATCAAACGTGGGTGGTAGGATCTAATGACCAAGGTGTGTGATACGTAAGAAGGATTTTCAACAAAGATATTATTTCAGTGTGTTCTACTGCAAATGCACGACCATTTTGGACCAGTATTTTGCGATCCAAGCGGAACGGACACTTGCGGAGCGATCGTAGTGAGGTATTCGTTTAGCTTCAGTGTAGAGATGTCTGGAAATGGGATAGTAGTGCAGCATTTCCGCTCATGGTTCTGTCTGCCCCAAGACACTGACCTATCTTGGAACGCATGCTAGCTCTACGACCACATCTCAACTGCCATTCCATTGTTAAGACGCCTACAAAGCTGCACGACAGCAGAGGATCAAGGAATCATTCACTGCGTGATTGTTGGGCGGTAATCCTGGAGATATCCGGTGAAAAATAATATCACCTCGCGGTTGACTTCCCTATGTCTTGAAATCATGGATAATTTTTGTTAAAAAAAATGTCTCGATGCATGCAGCGATACGGCGCTGTACTTCCGCATCGTTTAGGAACCCGTCAGTCAGGGTGGCTTCTCAGACGAGCATGCTTTCAGTTAGTGTGCTGATAACAAAACCGAAGGTAAAAATGTTACAAGTGATTTCATAAAAAAGCACTTGTAGCTAACTGTAGAAGTCCGGAAGTTGACGTAACAGCGAAAATCAGGGTCAGAACGAACTCCTGTGTTATATCCCACATTGAATTGCTAATTTCTGGCCATCAAACTATCCACTTTCTTAGTGCAAATCGATTAGTCTGTCCGAGATCAGATTACTTTTCATGTGTGCTCTAGGATCAGAAACCTTTAAAGGGTACTATGAGTAGGATCCTGTGGGGTAGTGAGCGAACCGAGGGTTTCGGAACTGTATGTCGATGTGACAAAACTGTGCAAGCGTTCATCCCATTCAATAATGGACGGTTTAACTAATCCGAGAACACGTTTAGGATCACTCTTGATTACTGAATGTTAAAAACCCATCTGATCGGTAGATGTAGACAGCGGGGACGTGACTTATCTGTCTATACCATGGCTGAACAAATGGACCTATGCCTGGTGCCGCATCCCTTCTTGTAAATGATTGTGTACTGGCAACGGAAGTGTTCTGTTTGTGGGACTGTCTTCTTCAGAACTTTGCCAGTCGAAGCTGCACGGATAGGCGTTTGCGTACCAGCGATGAGGCACAGGTTGAAAGCTTGTACATCTATTCTGCATCAGTTGCCACAGTCCGTCCAGTTACTGTTAACCATCAATATGCGATGCCACTCCTCTCGTCAGCTCATATGTAGCATGCTAAAATACACTTCTCTTTCCTGAGATGAACGTAACTGGGCAAAGAATGACCTTTTATCTGACATTGATAATATTTCTTCTCTTATGGGGATCAGTACAACTGTCTCATAAAACGGCTACCCTTGATTGGCCGTTTCTATGGAAATCGGGATAAACCAAACCATAACGTATAGACGCAGTACACTACCCAAGGCTGTTGAAAACTTCGACAGCCCACAGCCGGTTTCGCTCCTCTTGGGACGCATCGGATAGGCGCAGTCCCCTATTTCCCGTCAACTGTATATCCTACTTGAGCCCAAGTTGCATGAAATTCGACAAATATACTCATGTGCATACCAACAAGAACATAAACGAGCGATTCAGCTGGGTTCCAATTGAATCTTTCGTCAAATCCAAGTTGGTATGCAAATAAGTGTATAAGTCAACTCGTAACATATCTACAAATCTCGAAGCCTGTGTTTCCTAACTTTCTGTGAGCCTATAACTGATACCTCCGACAACGTTGTGCTTTGTGATCTTCAAAGCTTTGTACAATTTTCTGGTGGAAGTGACGTAGGTGGTCTACGCTTAATCACGATTGATCAACCGAGATGGGTTTTATGTAGTGCTTGCCTTGTTCGTAAACCATTAGAGTTTTTATCGCTGTTTGCCTGCCTAAACACCACCCCGTGCTTGAACGGAACTGATTGGTTGTGTGCATGAAGGCTGTTTATTCTTCCCGCTTGGTTTTGTGATTACTTTTCGTTTGGCTCATCCGGTCAGACGTATTAGTAAAGTGAACAACCAGCCAGCAGTTAGACCGATGGATAGTCACCTTTTGGACCCCCACTTTCTATAGAGGGAATGGGAAGAATGAATGACCAATCAGAGTAGGGGTGTAGCAATGAGGCCATTAGGAACAAATTTGCATCCAATGAGATTACGAGATCCTGGACCAGTAGAGACCCCAAATCTAGGCTTATACGGTATAGCGATATGGTTACACTGCTACCTGCAAGCATTCGTCTCTGCCTAACACCACGACCAGTTCTAATGTAACAGATTTAAAGACAGATAAGCACCAAAATGTTGAAATATCTTCTAGTGGGTTTCATAAAGTAGAGATTAGCAGAAGGACTCTTCTGCAAAAGCACCATAATAGCCGCAACGCCTTGAGCAAATGCAATTGAAGGATGGTCCGCCTTACGAAAAATGAGGGTTAATGAAAAGTTCGAAATTGCAGCATGAGTGGTGAACGTCATGGAGTAAAAGACATACACAAGGTTTAACGACGGTACTCTTGTTCCTACTATAATTTCTTATGCGTTTATAGG